CTGCCGCAGTCAACATCAATGAAATGCGATTCCTGCAGACTCGTCTGTCTCGAGTTGACATAATCTTAAACTTAAATCTATAAGACCAAGAGATAAACATGATCTAAAGTTCGTTTTTCATATTAAGGCCTTGGCTTTTATTTTTATCTAAGCCACGTCTTATACGCATCGGATTTAATACATGATCGATTTTAATAATGATTTCAAAAGTTACGACTGAATTAAGCTCGTAGAGGTGTCCGTTACTAAGCTTAATATGTATTATTTTAACCTTTTTCATATATTTTGGGACCCACTTTCGGTCGTTGTTCAACACCAATTGAACCATTTACGGTAAAACACTAAGATCAAAACATATAGTATTCCTAAGGGGCAAGTCGTCGATTAATTCAGAACCTAAGAATGTAGCGCAAAGTTACGTCTAGAAAACAAAACCATTTTTTTTTCTCAAAAATGCCAAAAGTACTACTAAAACGGAATCACCATATTACCTACATAATGACAACATTTTATCGATCAAAGTGTGAAACACGTATGTTTAAAATACGCAACATATTAAAATTTAATAAAAGAAATGTATTTAAACTGCATAGAACATGCAAAATACTTTCTTCCCGGCCGAAAATTCAACCCATTAAAACCCGATGTTTATTCTTGTATTCACGTATTCGTAACGATCACAAAAGGGTCACGTTAAACCTCTCGCCCGCGACAATATCTAGATTTAGTCAATGTGGCTGGCCTCGTTTAACGCGACGTGTGCACGCAGTGCCTGGTGACGTGCGCCGTGCTGGTGCTGGCGGCGGGCGCCGGCCACCCCATCGGCTACTCGGCCGTGGCGCTGCCCCAGCTCCGCGTCGAGAACTCCTCCATGCACGCCGACGACGAGATGGGCTCCTGGATAGGTACGACTGCATCATTTCTACTTTTATTTAGTTTAAAATTCATATTATACTTGACCATCGCCGCTCTTTATATATATATATAAAGAGCCGATTGGCTCATTTATCGCGAGTCGTCTTTCGAATGAAAACATGAACGCTGACATGGCCGATGAGTTTTTGACTTAAAACAAATTAAACCACTCCTCTCGTGCATCAGACAACACTGGACCCGGTACTGGTTAAGGGTTGCTGAGTGGTTTTTAAGTGACCAGCGTGGAGCACTCAAAATCCAAGACATTCGATCTACATATAGATATAAAATAAAAAGACAGTTATGAACCGCCTCGGCAGTGAGGTGTTTGAAACCTGACAGGCTGGTCTACCTGCGTGGAATGTTGAGATTTTTTTAAATTTATAGAACATATGGGCTCGATTTGAACAATAATTAATTAAAAAAAATATTTTAATGGTGTTTAATGTGGGAGATAAAATTAAAATATTTATTTGTTTGTGACTAATATTTAATGAAAATATAAATCTTTTAAATAACTTGCAAATATTTAGTTTATTGCGCGTTTATTTCTATGTATTTATTAAGTTTTTATTAAATATTTTTTTATCTAAATATGAGTAGGTTTAATCCTAAGAAACTAGTAATCCGGTCTCGTTGATCACCGAGGTCAAGACGATAGGGGAATTACGGAAACTGCTACCAAACAATCTTCCTTTTGTTCAGACAGAATTGCTTTGTGCTAATGCATTGCTTTTCTAAGCCTCACTAGCGCAAATTTCAATATCACATTACAACCAATGTACTTTTTACATATCTCCTGCTCTCTAATACGAAATTTACAAATTTGATAATGATAGATATTCGACTGAAAAAAAATGTTTATTTCGTACTGAGATTAAATAATGCAATTAACTTCTCTTAATTACAGTATTCAAAACTTTTATTCTTAGAAAGATTACAGGCGCATTATTTTTTTTAAATACAGATCCTAAAATACGAATTCTTTAAAACTTAAACTGTCAAACAGACAGAGAAAGAATTAAAAAACCGTGACATTATTGCGTAATAGCGGCCTTTAAAATAAATGTCAAACTTAATTTTGTAAGTAAAAAATTGCAAACAATCTTTGATGATTTACATTTCTTCAGCTTTAAATGATTTTAATTTTTTACCATTTTGTGTTGTCATCTGTAGTCATACTCGTATCCATTTTTTATGCAAAAAATTTATTTCAGTAACAGACAACTTTCCTATTTCTGTTCACCGTTGTTAAGAAAATAGAGTCTAATTTGACTGACACGAATATGTCTTAGTTATATAATTAAATCATATATTTTATTTGAAGACAATACATGTAATTTATTAATTTATTTTTTCTCTATTTGTATTCCATCTTTCTGAATTCAGCGAGTTCATATTAATGACTCAATTTTGATGTTCAACTTACGAGTAATAATTCCATGCAAAATTGAAGAAGATTTTAAAAATACTTTTATTGTATTCCGTTTGATTTATAATATTGATAGATAATATTTGAATTGTGCAAATACTATGTATAGATATTATATTAGATCTTTAACTTGATTTTATTAATAGTCGCAACTATTAGATATACCGCTTTTATCCACTTTCCATGTTATGGAAATTAATAAAATAGGACCATCACATGATTTCGCGCCCTTCCGTAAAATTACATATTAGATAATATCAATCGACCGTTTTTATATGCATTCTATACATAATAATATGTTACGTAATTTAAATATATATTTAAATTCCCTTCATGTTTTTTTTACATCAACCGTCTAACATAACCACATAGGCTCTATATTTAAGTTGCAATATGCATAATCTAGATATCATCATCATCATCATCATCATCGCTCAACCTTCAGCCAGTCGCAATGACTGAAAGGGACAAGTCCCGATACACCGAAGGGAGCGTAAATATCGGGGGGAGTGTAGGTTCTAGTCTGGATTAGGAGTGGCGGGAGTGTAGAACCGGCCGGTGTTCGTGCAACCTTTAGCCGGAAACTGGATTCGAGACAGGTAATATACACTATAGTGTGTCAATAAATATAGTGAGAAGGGTATGTTCCTTCCCTTTTTCTTTCATTCTTCGTTTCCTTTGCTTGGTGCAGGCTTCGACGTCCCTTTCTGAAGTTGCAATATGCGTAGTGTAGATATCAAAACGATATTCCAACGCCGCAAACTGCGTTGGAAAACTTCATACGTCAATGTGCCCTCGTTACAAATGCACAACGCGATCCAATCGGACGAACACGAACGACGCCGCTTCATAACAACCACTCGAATTTATAAACATTTTATTGTAACGTCACCGACGCTCCGCGATTCTCGCTACAGTGACAAACGAGTTTATGATTGCGACACATTACGCTTAATAATACGGTTAATACATTGATCAATAAACGGTAGGTTATTGTTTAAATTTGTGTTTTTGTTTTTAGTCGTCTGTAATGATCTGACGTTTTTTTTAACGTTTCACGTGCTATGTTTATTCGTTCGGTGAATGGTTTTTTTTTGTTTTGTTTCTAGGAAGCGTTGGTCGAATATGATCTTAGCCAAAGAGGAAGGAAAAGTTGAGATTTATACATCTACTTTGAGTTATATTTATGTTGTCTATGATACATTTAACGAATTATTGTAACGGACTTTATTAAATAAATTTCTAGTTAGTGTATCGATTTGTTTTCGTCGATTCAATACATAGTGAATTATTAACAAAAACGAATGGAAATTAAAATAAAATATAGTAACCGAATACAAATGATTAGCTATTTACCGTGATAATAATTACAGCCAAATGTTGTCTTCGATACAGAAAAAAATCCTAGGATTTGTGTGAAGCATTTCTATGATGTTAACGTGTCATGATATAAAATATAATTTGTATCGATTTGAAACCCATTTACTGTTTTAGAATTGTTTAAATTCAGTTTCTAATAAGTTTATAAACTTCTTAATAACTCCAAAAAAAGGAATATAGAATGAATTCGCTGATTTTTTATCGTAAACTTTACACTTTATTTTTGAAATAATACACGTATATTTATATTACACAAATCAATGGGCTATAACTCGTTAACAAATCATACCAACAATTATAATATAACTAGCTTTCCGCCCGCGGGTTCGCTTACGTGGAATACGATTTTCATCGCAACTCGACCCCCTCCTATCACACCTTTGTATATTTTTCAATGAGTCTAGCGCGTTTTGAGCAAAAAAGGTCGAGTGTAGCTTTTTTGGTTTTTTTTCCTTTTCAAATACCATTGTTCGTTCGTATTGTAACGTCCAAAGGCCTTCGACTATAGCAATTATTATTTTCCTTGTGGCTTTTCAGGCTAGATGTTTGAATGAGGATAATTTTTGTTCTTACATAAAATGATGCCCATATAGTGCTCCGAACCAAGCTCTACATATCCACATGAAAGTCTATTCAATAATTTTAGAGCCGTGCGCGAACTGATGCGCACTGGATATTCACTCACGCACTTGATGGATATCGGTTTTTACTGGACATTGAAGTGAACCGAAACGGAGCGAATTATTGACTTCTTATAAGTTTTCCTGTAATCTATAAGCCAAGAATTACTTTATATATACATATATATATTTTTTTATTTTATTTTAGACGCAATATTTTAAGAGATGAAGAGGGAAGATCGTCCATTTTCATCTATTTTCTTAAATCACTTTAAAACTATTTACTTTTAAACATATATTTGAAAACTCACAATAGTCGTTTTTGTTTGTTATGTCGCACGGTAGGTACATTTTGCAAAAGTTATTGATTTATTATTTAATTATTTAAAATTCATTTATTTACGTCACACATCCGTATTTGGGGTACAGATATATGTGACGAATATCAACTTAATCGGTCCAGTAGATTCAGCGCAAATCGGTCGTGACAAACGGACAGACAGACACATGAGTGATTAAGATTTTTGGAACGGAGTTGTTTATCGCACGTTACACTCAGGCGCTCAGAGGATGCGAACTACACGAAAAAAAGTGTAACCGCAACGAAAAATACTGACCGCTGTTGCTTTAGTTAACGTTTAATTTTGTTGCCAACGTCCATACCATGCTGAATACACCGGTTGTCGTCCGATCACCGAAGTTAAGCAGCGTTGGGCGCGGTCAGTACTTGAATGAGTGACGCCTAGGAACATAGCGTGATATTGGCTTTTTTTGGTTTGCATTCTCTTTGTGGTAATTTATAATAAAATATTAATTATAATTTTTATCATAATATTTTATTACCATTTCTCAATTCTTTTTGTTGTGTTTTTCGTTTCATTATTTTCAAAAGTTATTATTTATTTTATTGTGCTTGTTTGCAAATTAATAATTCCCCTTTTTTTTTTTCGTAAAATATTAAATGGATTGTTTTAGTTCTGCAGTGTATTCAACTTTAAATTTTCAATAAATAAATACGTATACAAATATGTGAAAGTGACATCTATTTTTAATTTCATAATTATATAATTGTGCTAATTTACGAACTTAATAAATTTTTAATAAATAAAACAGGTGCTGCTGTTTAGTGCTTTTTTTGAGATTTTTAATAACTAATAGAAAAAAACTATTAAACAACTTACAAATATTTCTTAATATTTATTCACATTTATTGTTATTATTATTTGTTTAATTACTTCCAAACGTTTTGATTAATGTCATTGTTATTATAGACCAGTGCTGAAGCCTTTAAAAAAGGTAAAAAAAATGTAGTAGAATGAAACCCATTCAAAACGAAAAATAATATAGCAAACATGGAAGGAAAAATAAATTACTGTCGATTTGAGATCGGGATGTAGGAGGGGGTGAGTTTTGAAGGGTAAAAATCGCTTTATCTCGATTTCCAGCAAAACTGCAAGTCTTATGGAAAAAAATTAAATGGCAAACTTGTAGGTAATGATCTACAACTTTTGTGTTTACACGTTTTTCACATAACCTCAAAATTTATGTGAATAATTCAAATAACTAGGTTTTTGGTTTTTTATTTTTATCTTTTACAAAAAAATTCACGAAATTCGGTGAAAATTTGCCTTTTTATGTACCAAACACACTGTAATTTTTTTGCATTTGAAATATTTATTTTTTCACCTTATTTCCATTTAATATCAAAATAGCACCCTAATTTTTATCAAATCATATGTCAAAATATCAGCTTTTTTAAAAAAGTCGGTGGGCTTTTTGTTCGTTGAAATCTCTACTTTTTGATAGTGTAAAAAATATACGTTACTGTGGTAAATGTCCTCAGAAAATGCAAACAAGGAAAAAAACTCGAATCCACACATTTTTTTTTATCATTATGTTCAATTGTGTGCTATTTACTAAAATTAACACTTTAATTACTCGTATATCGTAAGATTCCATGTTACATTGATAAACAAAAAAATCATAAATCGAAATATACTACTATAATTAACAACCAAATAAGTTAATAAAGTTAATATTTGATAAGACATCTACAATGTTTTGAGAAAGTTGTAGAGTTTTTTAAAATTAAATGCGTAGATGCCTATTTATTACTATTTGAAGATATTTTATATACCTGAGTGACTTTCGGAAAATTTAGCCCGTCAAAAGGTATTTCGGGGAAGGGACTAGGAGGTTCGGACCCACTACCTGTTATTTCGTAGGAGCTTTAAGAACTGTTAACTAACTGTCGAAATACAGAGCATTGAACAACATAGTTCTCAAAAATACACATACAGGCTGAGTTAGATTAAGAGAATTGTGACAAATTTACTTCAAATGAAATTTTTGGAATCAACAAACCAAAGTAAATATTACCCGTATTTTAATCTGTATCAATCACTAAAGTAAAAATAGTATTATTTTATTTCATAGATAGTGTATTTACCGTAACACAATCTAAAAAATTAAAATCAAATGATATTTTAGTACACGGAATAAAATGAATTATATTAAATAAAGGCTGATGTTTAATAAGTTATAAAATGATCACGAATTAGTACAGTTCAAAATAGTAATTTTGTTATTTTAACGATTAATTTTTAATAATTGTTATATAATCGTCAAAGTTAACAGTTTATATGCAAACAAGTAATATTACAAACTTTAACATTTAAGCTCGAAAATTTAATATTTAAGCTTCAATATGTAATTTTTTACTTATAATTGCTGAATTCCTAGACAAGTCCCGGGTTATTATTTATACTTTAAAAAGTGTTGTTTTAGTTTTTTGCGTGTACAAGATTAAAAAATAATAATGTCGTTTATTTTGCACAAACAAATGTAATTATCTTTAATAATTTAAAGAACTATTTTCGCATGTTTTTTTGCAATCTTAATGTTTTATGGATTTATAATTTTTTTGTTTATCAATGTAACATGGAATCTTACGTTATACGAGTAATTAAAGTATTAATTTTAATAAATAGCGCGCAATTGAACATAATGATAAAAAAAAATTTATATTCGAGTTTATTCGCTTTTTGCATTTTCTGAGAACATTTACCATGGTAACGTATATTTTTTTATATTATCGAAAAGCAGATATTTTGACACGTGAATATTCGATTAAAATTAGGGTGCTTTTTTGATATTAAATTAAAATAAGGTGAAAAAATAAATATTTCAAATCCAAAAAATTACCGTGTTTTTGGTATATAAAAAGGTACGTTTTCACCGAATTTCATGAATTTTTTTTTTTTGTAAAACATAAAAATAAAAAACCAAAAACTTGGTTATTTGATATTTTTACATAAATTTTGAGGTTATGGGAATAAAGTGTAAACACAAAAGTTGTAGATCGTTACGTACAACTTTTCCATTTAATTTTTTTCCATAAGACTTGTAGTTTTGTCGGAAATCGAGATAGACCGATTTTTACCCTTAAAACTCACCGCCTCCTACATCCCGACATCAAATCGACCGTAATTTATTTTTCCTTCCATTTTTATTATACTACCTTTCTTTTTCAATGGGTTTCATCCTATTATAATTTTTTTTGGTTTCAAAATTTATCGATCCTGGTCTATTATTCAATTCATAAAATATATTTACATATAGCTTCGTTCCAACCGGCTGTTCCAAAGACACGTCTTGAGTTTTTTCACTTGGGAGTACGAAACCCTAAAAATCTTTGTTTAGTTTCAGTTTTCTCTTATTGTCCTTTCGTCATTTTTATACGTACTTACAATGTTTAGATACACGGGGTTCTAATGCTTTAATATACATACATTTAGATTTTTCACTGACACTATTTTTTTTTAAATATGCAAGTCAATATATTATTCCATATCGAGAAGTAATAATTATGGCCAATCGACACATTGTAAAAATTAGTTCCAAGACACAAATAATTAAGGAATACAGAGCAAAATCGAGAGCCAGGAGCGTGACCAAAATTAAAAACGAGACCGAGGTCAAAATTGAGCACGGGATGAAAGAATTGTTTTTTTTTACAAAAGTTAGAGGATTTTTTTGTCCCGGTTTCGTCCAAATTGGAACTATGTCTTGTAGCGAAATCAGAATTGAAAACGGACGGAGAAGCAAATTGAGAACATAAGCGGGATTAGAATCATAAGCAGGACCGAAGTTGAAATTATAGACGGGACTGGGGTCGAAAACGAGGGTGAAGATGGCATCAGAATTAAAAGTGTGACCGGAATCGGAAACGAAAGCGAGACTTGGATTGGGATTTACGTCGATAGATACAAAAAGCTGAAGAAATTTATTCTACGTCCATGCTGGCGGAGCTGTGGGTATTACCTAGATTACTAAACCACTCACGAAAAAAGGCACAGCAACGTCTGCCGGGTCAAGTGCCTACATTTATTACATGTATTCAAGTCTCATTTGATTGTGTGTCTTCTTTATTATCGATGTTCATAACAACAGCCTTAGGAGTCTATAAACGCGCTCAATTTGTATCAATCTAAAACCATTCACGCAATTTGTCGTCCTGTAGCGCTGCTACTCTGTAACTTAATGGACTGTTTACACTCTACTCCGATAATGGAAAACGAATTTTGACTTACCTGTCATTATATCAACAAAAACATACTTAAAGGCATGGTTTAAACGTTCATTAATCCTTGGATTATTTTATTATTGCTTCTTTAAATATAGAATTTAGCGAATTTTCACCAGCAATCACAATGTATATCGACTACATCTATGGAATGCTTTCGATATATGATATGCATAAATAAACAACAATTGTGAAGTAAAAAAACGGATTTGGATTTTACGAAAGTTATGAATTTTTAACCTACTTCAAGAAAAGTAGCGAGGTTCTATGTTCGTTTTTAATAATTGACAGAAAATAGGGATATGCTTGTAGGAAGATTGTAAAAACGAACAAGAAAAAAAAAGTGTGTGTGTATTAGTGTACACACGTAAGAAGTGAAACTTCTTTATGACATCATTTTTCGTAAAATGATTTACTATTTACAACTTCACAGAAATTGGTTGAATAAAGCTAAATTAGATAAAGTTTATGCAAAAGGCTTTTATTATCATAGACATGGATACAAAAATAATACAATTATTTCACTTTTCTGCTACTAAGATTATAGCATTTCATTAATTATAATAGAATGATTACTATTATTGTTATCGTTATTATATATTTTTGTAATTAATGGCTTAACTCACTGATATTTACAATCAAAATCTAAGGTTAACCTGAAATAACCTTAAAAAAATGTAACTACTCAAAACGGGCCGCAAAATACATTGGAGACATTTACCAATCCCTACTCCGCTGGAGAAAGTATACTTCGAATCACGCGTGGTAGGGATAAGAAAAAGATGGCGCGTATCGGAAAAATGTGACGCGTAACGAAAAAATGTTACACTAAATTTTTTTCCAACCCCGATAAAAAAGTTTCACTTCAAAAAGTATAAACAGCGTGTCCATTTTTTTTACATTAAAATAATATTAATTGCCAGTTACAAATAATAGTTTTTAATAAAAAAAAAATGGTTGTCTGTAAAGTCGGTTTACGGACGATAATTTTACGTAATATTGTCATAAGAAAACATTGATGAAAAATTGCATACTTTCATGAATTGAAATGAATTATTATCACTGAATTATCATTATTTTGTATCGTCTAGGAATGATAATTATTTTGTATTTCTCTTCCCCTCTATCGGCCGAAGGAGTGGAAGAGAGATAGAGACGTCACAAGCCGAACG